AGCTGAAATGCCTTGTGAAAATATGCACTTAAAAGAAATAGTAAAAACATATATGATTCACAGGCAACAGCACTTGTCACGCTGTTTCGCAATGGCACCTTTATTTATCATTATCCAAAACCAATTATTCCAGAAATCTATATTGATGAGAAAGGTTATATGCAATATCATCGCTGCAAGCGAGATGATGCATGGGTAGTACCATATAATCCCATGTTAATTATGAAGCTAGAATGTCATATCAACTTTGAAATTGCTTCTACTGTACATCTATTTATGTATTTATATAAATATCTTTTTAAAGGACCCAATTACGTCAAATTCACTGTAAATAATGTGGATACTATTAATACTGATCAATCAAATTTACAACACATAAATGAATTTGAAGACTATATAAAAGGAAGATATTTATCAGCACCTGAAGCTGTATAGAGAATTTTTTATTATCAGATAACTTCAACAGACCCATCTGTACAAGCACTACCTATCCATCTTCATAATACAAATATTCTACAATATTCACGTTCATACAATACTTCATCTGTATCACTTCTAGATTGATATTTCCTTCGACTACTTGAATCTTTATTTGACAAACTTAAATACACAGAATATTATGAACAATATTCATTACATCCTTTTAAACAACAAAATATACGTAAAAATAATTTCCTTAAACAAGAGCAAGCTGGAGTGTTGAGAAAAATTGTTCGAAAACGAACTACTAATAAAATCACCAGAATTGTTTTAGTAGCTCTGGGATTTGGTGAACTTTTCTATTTGAGAAGTATTTTAATGCATCGCGCAATTCGAACATGGGATGAAATCAAAATATTCAATAATATTACATATTTAACTAACCAGGAAACTGTATGAGAAATGGGATTATTCACTAATAACAATGAAAGTATGTGTGCTATGAAAGAAGCTGTTGAAAACTTTTTAACATCGGCACAACTATGTTTTCTATTTTCGCAATTAATTTTAGATGGTGCACCTGCATTTGATATATGGCAAAATTTTAATTCAAATCTCTCTGCTGATATACAAGAACAATTTTATAGAAATTATTCCAATGTCATTAATATTGCTCTTTAACAAATAGCCTCTATACTTGCTGAACATAGCCGGCATTTATATGATTTTGGTCTTCCGGAACCACAACCGTAGACTCAGAAAGTAATTGCCAAATATCAATGCCATTCTGACTATGTTCAATATAGTCAACTTACTAATGAATTCTGCTCAAAAATGACTTCTGAACAAACTAATTTTTATAATGAAGTCATAGCTTACATACTTTGAAAACCAGAAGATGGCCCTATTCCAATATCAAATTTTTCAAAATTCTTAGACAGAAAAGCTGGTCAAGGTAAAACTTTTCTCATTAATGCTATTTGTCATACAATTCGTGCTGCAAAAAAAATTGGTTTATCTTGTGGAACAACTGCGCTAGCAGCATTATTGTATGAAGGTGGTCGCACAGCCCACTCATTATTTCGAATACCTGTAGAAGAAAACAATATCAGCATTCAATCATCAATTAAATACTACAGTAGCTGAGCTGACCTAATCTGTGAATCAACACTGATAATTTGGGACGAATTCCTAATAGTGAATAAAGCCATATTAGAAAGAATTGATCTTCTCCTTAGACAAATCTGTGTTAAAGATGAACCATTTGGAGGAAAACTATTTATAGGGGCTGGAGATTTTAGACAAGTGGCACCTGTTGTCAAAGGAGCTGGCAAAAGTGCTACAATTAGTGCATCGATTAAAACTTCGTACATGTGAAGATACTTTGACAAACATATTCTCAATCAACCTATATATAATGCAACTGATCCAGATTTTGCAGAGTTTGTTGATGCTATTGGAAATAACTGGCAAGAGCCAGAAGTATCTTTAAAAATTTTCAAAACAACGCATAGCATTGAAGAAACAATTTCTTTTTTATACCCAAAAAATTTATTTACAGATTACATCACGTTACCAAAAAGAGCTTTTCTTAGCCTCTGAAATATTTTAGTAAACTTCAATAGTTGAATTCTCGATATTCTACCAGGAATTACTCATACATATTTTAGTTATGACATCATTAAAGAAAATGATGAAATATTAAATAACTACCCAGTTGCAACACCAGATTATCTAGCTCAACTAACACATTCAGAAATACCAAACCATGAACTCTATTTAAAATGTGGTGCTATTTGCTCTGTCATGCGAAATATTTCTATTGAAAGAGGATTAATTAAAAATTCTCGGGTTATGATAACTAACTTGGGCCAACGACTAATAGAAGTAATGCTATTTAATAATAACCAACCTAACCATATATTAGAAACTTACCTACTTCCCAGGATCAATTTTTATTTTTAACCAGACTATTGTTCATAGACAGTATACCATAAACAATTTCTGCTACATCTAGCCTATTCAACAACTTTTAATAGTTGTCAAGGTCTTACTCTAAATCGTATTGTTATAGATCTTTGAACCAAAGTATTTGCACATGGTCAGCTATACACTGCCATTTCCCACGTAAAAAATAGAAATCATTGTTTAATTCTATTACCAGAAGGTAATACAACTGCTAAGACAAACAATGTAGTTTATAAAGAACTGATTCAATAAGCAAAATCATATTAATCAAACCTATTATGGTCACAATAATACAAATACTACATAAATAGCTCCTATTAATAAATTTGTACCAATCATTAGCTATGTTATTATTTGGTCTTTTAAAACCTCAAAGATTCTCACGGATTCTTAAACTGATGCAAGAAACTTTAAAAGCTTTTATAAAACTGATTATTATTTTTAGAAAATAAAAATGCTTTTTTTCTAAATAAAAATCAGTTTTAGAATAACCTTTTACATATTTGCAGATCATCTCTATATCGTGTAAATATATACCACAAATCAATTACTATCCTGTGATATAACCAATGATCCTGAATAAAACATGTAACCAAGATATATTTCTACTCACAAAACTAAATAATAAATATTAACCATTACACTTTTTTTTTTTTCTATAACTAATAAAGCTATATTTTTAAGAAGTGCCAATTTCCACCATTTAACATAATTTATCATAACAATATGTTCGTCATGTTTATGTAGCCAAAAATCATATGAAAAACATGGTGGAAATAACAAATTTCTACAGTGAAAATAGGCGTTCCCTATCTTTATTCCCATCAATCGTAATAATAAAAATTATATACAAACAGAATTAGTTACATAAATGTTTGCTCTGTACTCTTTTAAACCAAATATAATTGAATTATCTATTCAAACTTTCTGTTGTTAAATATATTGAGTCACCGCATGTGAATATAGATATGCTACTACTTGAACTATCTTTTTAATCTATTAATCTGCTTTACTTGAATTCCTGAGAAAAAAAACTGATAATACAGTAATTCACATTATAACAATTATATACATCTTTTATACTAATATATATCAAAAACAATTACAAACATATATTCATGAAAGAATCTAAAACAAAAAAACTGTCTAAATATAATTAGTGTTTTGCATTAACTACATAATTATATAAATCACCAAAAAATTTCACTTAAAATAATAACCATGCTGTGCTATTGCAATACTATCATAAAATCAATCAAGTAGTGTTAAAAGGCCAAAAGTACTATTATTGAATTTTACATAACATAAATATATAATGAATATTACAATAATAAAAATAATTAATTATAAATCCAGATGACTGTCATGGCGTCAACACACATTACTATTAATAAAATAACCAATAGACAATTCAATTCAAACA